GCATCATTTGTATTAGTCTGTATTATTTGTATTTGTCTGTATTATTTGTATTTGCCTGCATTATTTGTATTTGTACTATTTGAGCAGCAGATCCTTGGGGATTTTCATGATATCGCTGGCTGCCCCAAGTAGTAGCGCAAGGCTTGAATTCCGCTGTAAATGGGACATCAAAAGAAAAGTGCAAACCGTTTCGATATCGTTCGCGACCTAGAGACCCGCCGACGCTGGTTCCGGCGACCTACCAGGCTTGATGAGATGAAACTTTGTACAGGAATGGAAACATCTTGTACGATGATGGCGGCCCTCTGGGAAAAAAAAAATACGTTTTCCAAAGTACACCCCCCCCCCCCCCACAGGGGCAACGAATTTTAAAGGGGCAGTTCCACTTTCTTTAACATAAGAGAAACAGACATTAATAAACTGAGAGAATTTCTATTTAAAAATATGCTTACCGCTAATTTACAAATTCCCTGACAGGATAGGTTTCAGATTAAGATTTTCCTAAATTCAAAAATTCGATGGCTGCTTCTATTCCATTTTTTACATTTCCATTTCCTACCGTTTTGCCCAATCGATATCGTGTTAATATAATAAAAAGGATCCACCCTAAAAAAAAAGTGGAAAATGAACAATTTGTTAAACTAGCGAGTTTGTTTGCCCTTCAGGCAACTAAACTCGCTATGGTCGCGCCTTCGGCGCTCCATTACCTTGGATAGTGATTAATTCATTTATTCTTTGCGAAATGGCAAACACGTCCCCAATGAAATAAGTGACATGACGACGAAAGTCTTGATTTTCATCAAAATCAATACCTCTATGATTTCTATTGTGCCTAACTTGAAATCTTTTCTTGTGTCCCTTTTTGTAAGGGTGCAGAATACATTTTGAAATACTTCCTTCTATAATCTATGCTAATGGTATATATTTCAAATGTAATATTTTTCCTGTACTCAGCCATCAAACGGGTATTTCTGAGGGAAGTTTAAATTTTTCTGTCTTTGTTTCCTTGGATCAAAAAATTTTTTAGTGAAATGCTACTGAAAAAAGTTCCCTGATGGGTTTTAACGAAAGCTTTATTTCCTCTGAAATGTGGACTCAGGGAACTCCATGCCACCCAGTTTCAGCCTCATTCGTTTCCTCTTTATGCTGGCGGAAAAATAGGAATTTGGAAAAGCGGCACACCCTAAAGCTGTGCTCTGAGGAGACACGCACCAAAAGTTGAACGTTTCCTTAAAACAACAGCACGTCCGTTATGCGTGCGCCAGCTGCTACTTTTCTATTTCTGCCTGATTCACTGGGATATGAAAAATTCTGTGAAAGCATTACGTCCTTCAAGAAATATGATCCCCCCCCCCCCAAAAAAAAAAAATATTTTGTAAATTGGAAATTTGACATATGAGCTCATTGCGTCCCCAGTCACGTTCTTACCAAGTTACAGCTTCCCATGTCTCCATTTGATTGAAGCAAAGAGAACTATTTTAAGATATGTTCCCCGAAATGGTGTACCCCAATGGAATGTATCGCCAAATTAGAATTTTCCCTGAACTCAACATGCGAATAGCTACTTATATCAGTCAGCTACTCACGATCCTCTATATATTATAAAAGTATAATTTTTTCTTTACTCAGCTAACCATCAGCTTCTTCTTTGGCAAGTTTAAACTTTCAGGCGACCGCCGTTTTGTTGGATCTGGAAAATCCGCCTTTTGCAATGTATGTGCCCTCAGGCGTTTTTACCGAGAGGTACAATTTTTTTTAAGCCTAAATCAATCCTCAGAGAACTACATGCCCACCAAGTTTCAGTCTTATACGTTTGCCCTTTTCTCTGGTGAAAAAAACATGTTTGGAAAGGTCGACGCACCCAAAAGCTATGCCAGGAGGGGATGCACTATGGAAGCTGAATACTCCCTCAACTCAATAATAATAATATCATTTCATTTATACGTGTGCCAAGTTTCACCTTTCCATTTCTGTCCTATTCGTCACGACAAATATTTTTTAAAACATCGTCCTTCGAAAAAATTCCCCAGGGGATGTATCGAGATTGAATATTTTTCAATAATTCCTTGTCTCAGTAGTCATATTCACGGAAAGTTTCAGCTTTCCATTTAACCGGTGCAAAAGAATTATTTTAAACCATCTCCCTTTGAAATGTGTGACCCTGGGCAATTACTTGCAAAGTCTGAATTTTTCTGCGCGCAGCATCCCAATTTAGGTTTCTCCTATGAATCTTTCCACATTAGCTAAATACGTCAGTACAAAAAAAAATTACATGAAAACGTCGGCCCCTAAAAATATGCCCCCCCCCCCCCTCCCAGATCATGGATCTAAAATTTTACATTTTTCCTGAACCCATCCTCTCGGTAAGCATGTCCATCCCAAGTTTCAGTTTTCCATGTCTCTCCGTCTTATGAAAGCAAAAGTATTGTTACGGAGGGGAAAGAGAAACGAGACTTGTAATGAATAAGAGGCAGAAAGATCGCCAAGTAACGGGCTGGATTTGAACCCGGGCTTGCTGAGTGCAGGAACAGGTATGTTACCACTACACCACCGAGCCCAAAATGTGTGCCCCTAGGGCATGTGCGCCCGAAGTCGGATTTATTTCTGAACTCTACATCCCAGTAGGTACATGTGTACAAAGTTTCAGATTTCTAACTTCTCTAAAACATGGTTAGATTTAGCGTCAGTCAGTCAGTCACGATCGTCTATATATATTATTTTATAGATTAGTCCCTTGCTCTATAGGAGCGAGTAGAGCACTACGAAGTCAAGCGCAAGTAGGAGGCACAGGACAGCACTGGACTCTCGCATGCCGACGGACCAATCTCAAGAGAGAGAAAAATACTCGACTTGGAGTTCCTCCATCAGCGGCTTAAGCCCTCCAATTCCCCCCCTCCCCCACTTCCCCCACTTCCCCCAGCACGGGAGCCATCGGCAAGCGCGAAAGCACGGCCGACTCCACCCGCTGCGATGGGTTCACATACCGTCGGTGCGGATGGAGATAGGAACTTCCTATGAGGAAATATGAAGCAGAACGTTACCATGGTAACCAAACCCCATCCCATGCCCCACCGCTGTGGTTACCGTGTGAACTCGAACAAATACCAAGCAATAGGCGACCAGCCAAGCGGCGACATTTCGACTGACGGCGGCATGGAGCGTCACAAGCAGGCATCCGCGCTGGGTCGAATGCATGGGTCGTGGGCCGTAACGCCTGGGTGGATGCCAAGTCGAACTCGACCTCGTTCGTGAGATACGAGGTCAAAAGGGTCAAAATGACTGGTATTTTGAAACCCACCTTGGACGAAGGAGTTATTAACCGTTTTCAATGAAATTTTCACTGAATATTCCTGAGATATGGATGTTTATTTTAAGTCTAGGATATGACCTCTGAATAGCATCATTCGAGGTCAAAAGTCAAAAATAGCGAAAAAAAGTTCAAAACCGTCTTCACTTACGCTCATGTACTGACGCTTCTAATCGGTTGATATGATTGAACCCGCGCCAAAAACTTTCCATTAGGTGTATCTTCATGTCTAGGAAGTATTGTGAACCTAGGTCAAGGGGCAAGGCAGGGGCGAGACCAAAATGGCCTCCAGTTGTCGATAATGCATATATTATGAACGCGGCAGTCAACATCAACAAAATCTCGCCGATTTTTTAACTGAATAACAATGTATATGGTGGATCACTTAGGTTAGGTTAGGTTCGGTGTTTGACCGTTGATGAGGACCATTCCAGGTCAAATGTTAAAATTGGCAGAGAAACGTTAAAATCACTCATACTTAGAGGTAGGTACCAGCGATTCCATTTTTTTCATATTCTTGAAACTGCACCAGAAACTTCCCAACAGGAGCATCTTCATATATAAAAGTTTAGTGAACTTAGGTCACTGGGTAAAGCAGGTCAAACGAGGTCAAACGTCGCAAAAAAAGGCCTCTGGTGGTCAACAGGGACGTCACCATTTCCAGGAAACTTCCGTAGCGATCTCACTAATTTTTTTAGTTCGATGATCCGGGAGTTCAATTAGGGATGTGACCTCTGATGGTGACCGTCCGAGGTCAAATGTGACAACGGAAGTGAAAGAGGGTCAAAATGATCCGCATTCAGACGACAGAACTGATGTCTCCACCTTGTTAGTACTAACGAAGCAGTACCGAACACTGCTTGAAAGGTTGATGCTGGTTTTCAAAATGCCTTCTTAACCTTGATCATCGGAAGATGAAAGATGATCATCGGAAGATGAAAGATGATCATCGGAAGATGAAAGATGATCATCGGAAGATGAAAGATGATCATCGGAAGATGAAAGATGATCATCGGAAGATGAAAGANCTCATATGAATTTATTCATTTATTCTAAAACAATTTTATTTTTTAACTCATTGAGGGCTGGATAACATTTTTTAATTTTCATTAAGGGTTTACTTCCCCGCAAATTTGATCCCTTCTGTGTACTATAAGAATTACCATTTCTAAATACGGAATTAGATAATTACTAATTACGGAAGGTGTATAGTTTTGGGCTCGTTCAACGCCTTCGTCGTGCACAAGAAACCGGACGCAGGCATCGAGAATGCATGTTGCTGATGTCACACTGCCTCAGTAAAATCCATTCTTGACCCTTCAGTACCGTGGGATTTAAATCCATTTGCCCTTAAATGGATTTAAATCCTCACTGTGAATTCAACGTCTAGAAAGCATATCTTTACATGAACGACCATAAATTATGTTTTGTAATTGAAATTTGGATTCGATATTTGAGTTTGTAGTTCGCACCTTTCATATGACACCGTCAGATTCCAAATGATTAAAATAAAATTACCAACAGGAAAGGTACGGCAGGTTACCGCTGCACATATGACGGGTTTAAAGCTGGTTAAAGGCTCTCAAACGACCTTGCCTTTTTTGCATTTGGCATTTTGCCCTTGCTGATTCAATCGTGCAAATCGATCATCAGATCATCCATCTGATGATGTTTTTAAATAAATAACACTTCTTCCCATTCATTATTTGTGAAACTTTTTATTGTCCTTTACCTCCCTAGGCATCGCAGTGACATCGCAAAGTGTTGGCAAAAAAAATTCCCATTGTAAAAAAAAAATCGAGGAAACATCGAAAGGATGGCAAGCGGGGTGGAGATCAGCAGAGTTCCCAGTCCTGGTGATCCGGCGGCCTGCACTTCGCCGGGCACTTGCGGTTGTTCCTCTTGGTATTGGCGAACCGCGGCCCGTACGAGACGAAGAGGCGTCCCTCGATGCGCGTCGGGAACGGTCGATAAGTCGGACCCCGAAAGTTCGGATTCGTGCAGTAGTAGCTGTCGTGCGCCATCTGGAGAATGGAACGGCCGGAATTGGGAAGGAAGGGGAATTTAGGCATGCTTTTGGTATGCATATTTGGCCCAATTTTTTTCAAAACCCATCTACTCGCATTTGCATGCAAGATGGAAGATGTGATTTTTTATTGTTACTAATATTTTTTTGCTACCCATAAACAATTAAAATGGCCTGGAATACGCCACAGGGAAAATTGCCGTTGAAGACGCTCTTCGATGTGCATTGAATTTCATGCACGCATTACTCAAGCCCCGAATTTAAGTGCTTAATTTAACTTAAGTACCATTCGTGTCGTCGCTATCTTGCTACAACACTTAAAAAACGGGTTTAGGACATGCCGGGAAAAACTGGACTAAAATCAAGTCTGCTTCTTCAATAAACGTTTTTGTTCTATCTCATTTTTGGTACTTGCGCTTCCCACGCATGGTAAGCTTTCATTTCTAAATTTTTTTTACAACTAATGTCTCTGAATTCAATTTCACGGTAAGTGCAAAATATATTGTCCCCATTAAAATTAAAATTTGAAAATGGTCTCGCTCGAATGTCTCTTTTGAAGTCCTTCTCACAAACTGCCACTCAATCACCAATAATCAAACATAAATCATTCTCCATCGGAAACGCATCGATCGCACGCAACCCCACCCCTAACCAATTGAATGTGCATCCTTTCGATGCATTTCGTGCACCTCACCATTCTGTCCTTGGTCGCAGGCCACAGAACCCGTCGGAGGACTTCCTGGTCGAACGTCTTCCGGTGCTTCGACTCGGTGTGGAACAGCATCCGCCGCGTCAGGTTCGCCATCAGCTCCCGGTCCATGTGCGGCTTCGCGCCCCAAAGGCCTGGGGCGCAAAGAAAATTCCTTTCGCGAATGGAATTTCATGCATGACAATAGCTTTCGAACAGTTCATGTAATTTTTTATGTTATGTAATTTGTGATATGTAATTTTCAAGTTGTGTAATTTGTGACAAGTAATGTTATGTCATGAAATTTGTGATATGCAATTTTTATAAGTAATTTTTTATATATAATATGTATGTCAGTTGATGTATCATCAACTGATGAAAATGTGCGAAATACGCCATGAGCGAATATGGGGGGACAATAGTAGTTAAGAAATTGCTAATATTTTTTTTTTCTCGCGAGAGAGTGAACTTCATGAATGACATCTCAAACGAATAAGGAAGATGTCGGATGGCAAGAATAAATCTCGTACTTTTCCTTCAATTACATTTCATTAAATGTAATTATTAAAAATTTCTCAACATCTCCCAATAATAAGTAGATAATTGCAGGTGAAAAGCCCAGAATACATTGAGCAGTTCTTTAGCACATGAGAAAGGAGAGTCGCTACCGAATCCAACTTTGCTTCTTTTTTGCCCTTTTTCCCCCCTTTCCCCCCATTTTTTGGTCATTTTTGCTCCATCTTCCCCCTTTTTGCCCGACCTGCAAGAATGTAGGCGTAGTGGCCGGGATGGTCCCTCATGATATGAAACATGAAATCCGAGTCCAGCCACTCCTGGACTGCCGCGCGCTCCCGGTCGAGGATGAGAGAGTCCGAATCTCTGCAAATAAAAAAAAAAAACATGAAAAAAATAAAAGTAAATCCATGAGGAAAGGTCCTACCTTCTGCAAGTACCAAAATAATAGTTTCAGCTAATTTTTTTAAATGTTGTATCCGCCCTCAAAGTTGCACGTTCTTGTGCTTTACATCATCTTCACTTCTGAACTCAAAGACTTTTGATTTAAAATTCATCAGCAGTTTAGATTTTAGATCTTAGATTTCATGCCTCAAAACCAGTAGTAAACCAGTAATTCACAAAACTACCATGGTTCCATCGAATTCCGCCCTCAATCTCTCATCCGCTGAAGCCGCTGATGTTTGCCAACCGGACCTACACCCTTGCATCGCTGATTTCTTGCGGTTTTCCTTCACTTTCAACCGAAAGTTCCTTTGAGCCTTTCTACCATCATTTCTTTCACTCCAACAAAATGCAATTCTCATGAATGCAAAAGTAAAGCTTGTAATTCTATCTTAATCCTTCTCCGATGGCGAACGCTTTCAGTTTCTGCCCTGCAGTGCACCTTCGCTTCCTAAACATCATTAACTAATTTCATGCATGCAAGGCAAACGAAGGATCTCCATTAATCGTTTAATTCAACTGCTCCCGCACCTCCGCCTCCCCTGGGAAACCTCCATCTCCCTGGTGGATTTGGAACAAGGTGGATGTCCTCCAGGCGTTGCAGGAGGTCGACCTGGCCTCAAATCCATCGCTTGGGGAAGGACCGACTAGAGTTGCCGAGATTGGCAGTCCGAATACGCAGCAGAGTAGAAACGTAAATTTACAAGGTGAGGTACAAACGTGAGACATGCACATTCGGGTCCGCATGCGTACCTCCAACCTCCTGAGGTTGGGAACCCTGCACAAACATACGTTTCTGCAGGGTTCCCAATACAATGCTCAAAATAGGCGTAGGATGTCGATTTGTGTTCTCCCAGGACATTCCAACTCGAGTCAGCACGCAACGGATCTTGAGAGTGGAGTTTTCTTCCTGTCCCTGTATTCTTCACATCGTGATACTTGTAGTATTTGTTGAATGTATAATTATCATGTTTCAATGGTAATCCATGATTCTGGAAAATGTTTAATGCTG